CAGAAAACTCCTTTGCTGCCATCTTGGGGGTCTTCTGGATTTTTTTTACAGCCCAGATTTTATTAGGGATGAAAGTGGCTTTGTAGCTTCTTTTAAGGAAGGCAAGCAGCACAGTGTAGAATAGAATGGAATAACAGAGTTGGAAGGGACCTTGGAGGTCTTCTAGTCCAACTGCCTGCTTAGGCAGGAAACCTTACATCACTACAGACAAATGGTTATCCAACATCTTCTTAAAAACTTCCAATGTTGGAGCATCCACAACTTCTGGAGGCAAGTTGTTCCACTGATTAATTGTTCTAAGTGACAGAAAATTTATCCTTAGTTCTAAGTTGCTTCTTTCCTTGATTATTTTCCACCCATTGTTTTTTTGTCCTGTCCTCAAGTGCTTTGGAGAATAGCTTGATTCCCTCTTCTTTGTGGCAATCCCTGAGATATTGAAACACTGCTATGTCTCCCCTGGTTCTTCTTCTCATTAGACTAGACATACCCAGTTCCAGCAACCGTTATTTATATGTTTTATCCTCAAGCCCCCTAATTATCTTTGTTGCTCTTCTCTGCACTCTTTCTAGGGTCTCAACATATTTTTTAGGTTCATGCCATGGCGACCAAAACTGGATGCAGTATTCCGAGTGTGGCCTTACCAAAGCATTATAAAGTGGTATTAACACTTCACGTGATCTTGATTCTATCCCTCTGCTTATGCAGTCTAGACCTGTGTTGGCTTTTTTGGCAGCTGCTGCACATGGCTGGCTCATATTTAAATGGTTGTCCTATAGGACTCCCAAGATCCCGCTCACAGTTATTAATATTGAGCAAGATACCACATATACTGTACCTGTGCATTTTGTTTTTCTTGCCTAAATGTAGAACCTTACTTTTGTCACCACTGAATTTCATTTTGTTAGATAGCGCCCAATGTTCAGGTCTGTCAAGACCCTTCTGTATCTTAAGCCTATCTGCAGTCCTCTTTTGTCTAAGATCAAATTCCATGCACACAAAGATGGATTGCCAATTTTTTTACTACCAGTTCGGGTGCCCTCACATGATGCTTCTGTGCATACGCAGAAGCGTCCAGGTGGGTGGGCGGAGCCTCCCGGTGCCCACTGCCGCTATTACTGGTTCGTCCAATCCAGGCCGAACTGGCAGCAACCCACCTTTGCATACATGGTAGGAATGAAGAATTTGTGCACCTTTGGATGATGCTGAACAATATCTGAAAGCCATCCTAGTCATGTAATTATTTTGGGAGCAACAATTCAGCAACATATGGGGTGAAGAAATGGGTGGTTCCTTGCTTCAGAGTGAGGATTCCTTTCTCAAAGGACAAGATTTCCTTTTTAAAACCTCTTCCCATGTTTCAGGTGGACAACATTTATTCCATACATTTAATTTTAAAAGATTCTTATGTTTTGGGGAAGAAAAGGTTGTCCGAGAAAGCGATGACCTAATGATTGACACAAGAATTAACTAGCTGTTTGGACGTCAAACGTTGAAGAAGCTATTTATAAAGTACTGGAGAATGGAGTGCCCGGCATAAATGGTTCCCATTATCACTCTTGCTAATGGTAGGGTGAATTGGTGATTCATCTGGTGGTCTTCCACATTGCTATGTATTACGTCACATGAACAAAAGTGAAAACAGAGATATATGGATGCTAGCAGAATTCTCATTTTGTCTGCTTTGCCTTCTATCCTCAAAATGATGTATTCTCCAGAGAACTATTTATACTAACCAGCATTTGATGATGAAAAGCATCTCTGTGCAAATTTGTCTTGGCCTTCTAATAAGTAGATAACATAGGTAAGGATCAAGTTCAAGAACAAAAGCAACTCTTCCCTTCACTGACAGCTGACCATAATCTTCATCAAACAAACAATGCATTATAAATTGTGTTTTCTTTGTAAGGGGACTTTCTGGATTGGTTATTCAGTTTCTTTCAGCACTCTGTTTAGGTTTAGAAGCCTATCCTCTAGTACAGGGGTCCCCAACCTTTCAGAACCGGGCCCTGGAATTAGGTGAGCCCATGTGCATGTGCATCCCCATTTGCACGAGCAGTGGGTGAGCACGTGCACATATGCTCCATTTGCGTGAGCAGCGGGAATTAAGAGTTGTTAAGTGAATCTGGCTTCTGTTATCAAATTTGCTTTTCAGAAGCCTGCTGGGAAGGTTGGAAATGGTAATCACATGACCCCAGGATGCTACAACCATCATAAATACATGCTGGTTGCCAAGCATCCAAATGCTGATCATGTTATCTTGAGGAGGCTATGACAGTTGTAAGTGCAAAGACTGATTGTAAATCACTTTTTTCAGTTCTATTGTAACCTGAAACGATCACTAAGTGGATGGTCATAAGTTGAGGACTGTCTGTACTAGCATTACTCCCCACTATCTAGACTCCTTCTCCCTGACTCATGCAGCACCCAAGCAGTGAACTGTTTGTTTCACCCTACTTAAACTTTGTCCAAGAGCAAGTTTCCCATTCATGTCTCACCACCAATATAATTTCCAATATTATATGGTGCCTCTACCAACTCTCCATTTCATCTTCATATTACTAGAGTTTTCACAATATTTTCTAATCTCAGAAACATATTTTTCTATGAATGCAGGGAGTCTAGAGGGATGGAAGGGGGTGGAAAAGCAACTGTCGAACTAGCACAAGATATTTTGCTACTCAAGACCAAGGGCAAAATGGAAGGTCCAATCAATCAGAATAAAACTGGAAGGGACCTTGGAGGTCTTCTAGTCCAACCGCCTGCTCAAACAGGAGATCTTATACCATTTCAGACAAGTGACTGTCCAGTCTTTTCTTTAAAAACCTCCAGTGATGAAACACACACAATTTCTGAAGGCAAGCTTTTCCACTGGTTAATTCTTCTCACTGTTAGGAAGTTTCTCCTTAATTCCATGTTGCCTCTCTCCTTGGTGTCCCTTGCCCTCTTCTATCTAGAAGCAGCTGGGTGCTTTTTTGTTTTCTGTCTAGGAACACAAGGTCCTTCACTGCACCTGAAAGCAACTGGCTTGCCTGAAAGCTTAGGAGAAATGCTCGAAACTTTGCTACCTAAGGAAGCAGCTGCATTTTGCCTAATGGAATAACTAGATGGAAATCTGGAATCCACTGCAGATCATTGATTGATTGATTGATTGATTGATTATATGCCATGAATTTGGTGCTGCTTCTTAGCAACTCCCTAAATAGGGTACTTGGTGTAGCTTCCATTCTGTATTTTGAATAATTTCTCCTTTAGCAGATCCCAAGGTTTTATGTTTAAATTAAGCAGCATTTCTTTGACATTTACTTATTCAAGACTTGGGTTTGCTATCCTAGCTAGCTCCATTTGCTTTATGGGCTGCCCTGATTCCACTTCTGGGGTAGACCATTTCCTTAAACTGAAGGGCTCCTGCCACTTTCCTTTTAAAGGAGCCATGGATTTGGAGCTACTTAACAGATGGAGGCAAAGAATCTGAAGGAGGATAAAAGAATTACACTAATAGAAAGGCCCTTTTAATTGTTAAGAAGATTAGAAGCTGGACCAAAAAGACATTCAACTCGAAGGTGACCTACCACAAGGAATCAGATAACCATGTCCACGGAGAAAATCAACCAGGAAGGCAGCAGGTTTGGTTGCAAGGTACCCTAGCCCTGAGATGTGAAGGAGCTTGGTAGGGAGCCTATGAAACATTTAGAGATACTGAGACAGCAAAGGAAAAGAGACGGAGCTCTAGTGCAGAATGCCACTATTGTAGAATACAAGATCCCACTGAAGAACACAGCTGATCAAAAGGCTATTGTGCCACCTGTCAACCCCCTTTTCTTGTGGCTTTTATCTAGAAGCTCCACTATTGGTTACAGGAGGCTGGCAGCTCATTGAAAGCTTTGTAATCCTAGCTGTGCTAATTAAGCAAGGCTGGTGCAGTGCTAAGTGCCTACTTTTCTTCCCCCCCCTCCCCATCCCTGCTGTGCCGTGGAGAGGAGGAGGAGAAGAAGTCAATGTGAGCAGTGCAGGAGAGAGCAATGCTGCCAGCTCGAGGAGGTTTGGAGGGCGGGGAAAAAGTAATGAACAAGATTGGTTTTATGGGCTGCAGATTAGATGAAGGAAAAGCTGCTGCAGACGGACCTGGAATAGGGGCATTTGCAGGTCATCCGTGGCTTTGACTGAGATGTAAAACACTCAATTGCTTTTGATCCAGATTCCTCAATTGTGAGGCTGGGCATAACATTCGTACCACCTATTAATAACTGGGAAAAACTTGACTTTCCCCCCAGTCTTTAGGATTGTTTGCTGTTCTAGACTGAAGATGCCAACCAATGGGATCCATCAGGCCTTGAAGATCCAGTTTGGCTTAATCAACTCTGATAATCGCTATTTAACAGCAGAGCACTTTGGCTATAAAATCAATGCCTCGGCGCCGAGTCTGAAAAGGAAGCAAATATGGAGCTTGGAACAGGATGGAGACAGCTCGGTGGTCTTCTTAAAGAGCCACCTAGGTAGGTACCTGTCTGCCGACAAGGATGGCAAGGTCTCCTGTGAAGCTGAGAAGCCAGAAACAGATGGGTGTTTTATCATTGTCACTCAGTCAGATGGACGCTGGGCACTCCAGTCGGAACCGTACAAGCGCTTCTTTGGTGGTTCTGAAGACAGGTTGTCCTGTTTCGCCCAAACCATTACTGAAACTGAACTCTGGATTGTACACTTGGCCATCCACCCCCAAGCTAATCTTCTGAGCGTTAGCAGGCGAAGGTACGCTCACCTCAGTGCCCAAGAGGATGAGATCTCTATTGACAGCAACATCCCTTGGGGTGTGGATTCGCTGATCACCCTTACCTTCCAGAGCAAGAAGTATTGCCTACGAACCTGCGACAACCGCTACCTGCGGAACGATGGCACCTTGGTCCAGGAGCCTGACCGCCATTCAGGTTACACCCTGGAATTCAAGGCAGGGAAGTTGGCCTTCAAGGATTGTGATGGGAAGTACCTAGCACCGGTGGGACCTACGGGCACTCTAAAATCTGGCAGGAGCTCCAAGCCAGGGAAAGACGAACTCTTTGATCTGGAAGAGAGTCACCCGCAAGTGGTTTTTGTGGCTTCCAATGGCAGATACGTCTCCATCCGTCAAGGTAATAAACTCATCCCCTTTTTGCTTTGTGGGGCTGCCCTTGGCCAGGCAATGTTTCTCTCCCACTTCAGTAACAGGCTTATACAGTATGTGTCTAATTGTTTGTCTGTCTTGCAACTGGGAAATCTGCTTACATTTGCTTAACCGGCTGGCTGCACAATGGGGGCAATGGCAATATTTGTCATACGCTGCCTCTCCATAGTTTCTGGAGATTTTTTGACATTTGATTTTTCTAGACCTTTTTGGCAGTCACCTTCCTTATCCTTCACACTACATCCGTGTACTTGAATGGAAAGGGCACACATTTTAATTTCATTACTCTGTAACAATTCTTGATTTTTATCAGTGTACTGATTGGTTCATGAAATGTAATAAAACTGTAACATAGTGTGTTTGGCATGTTGTTTGAATCCAGTCACTGTAAATTGTAAATTTCGGTTTGCGTGATGTATGAACCCTGGCACTTACAGGCTCAGTCAACAAATCATAGCTTTAATATGAGGTACAGTATGTGTGGGACTGGTGTCTGAGCTGTGAAAAGTGCAGATTACCTCAATTGTACAAAGGGGATTTGAATCCAAGGGGTATTATCGGTAAGAGCTGGGCTAGGATTTAAGAATGAAGGACATTCACCAAAGTGAGCAGCCATAGAGTGTCTGGGAGCTTTGTCGCAACTGTCAGCTAGTTAAGTGTTCAACTGAGTCTCTTCAGTCTGTGCAATAATGTTAGGGACTCAGTTAGCATTTCTGCTGCTGATTCTTTGACAAGAAAGACACGTTTGAGTCCTGCCACAATGCCTTCTTTTGAATTAGCAAGTTGTTGCAAAGGTGGGGTAACTTAGCCCACATCAACGTCAGCTAAAGCGGCTTACACCTGCTTTGGGGGACTCTCAAGATTCGCTGAGAGCCTGGTGGAGAATCAGTCTTTCCAAAGCCAAGACAAAGGATAGGAAAACACATCCTGGAGGGAGGGGGGAAGCTTGTTTTCTGGTAACTGCAGAGCATTGGGAGGACGCCCGTCTTCACTGAGCAGCCACCAGATTTCAGGCTTTGGTGTGTGAATGGAAGGGCTGCTACCTTAAGTAGGTGTGAGGCTTTCTCTGTGTGTAGATCTCATTAACTGGCTTCCATTTCTGTCAAGGCACAAACAGTTAAAATAGGGGTGTTCCTCAAAGTGCCTGAGACCTGTTTGAGAAGTGGCAGAGTTTTCAGAGCCCTTGATAAAGGACCTAGGATCTGAAGTGTTTATGGCGTACAAGAAATATTTCTCAGGTACATCATCCCGCCTTCTTTGACACACAAGAGAAAAGCCCATAAGTAAAGCAAATATGTTCCTGGATATCCCCCATCTAGTGTGGCACAAGACTTGTTGCATAAGTGTGATTTGTGCAACAGCTGTCCCAAGCTTCTATAAATTTTAGCAGCACACAGACAGAGATTATGCTCATGTTTAATTTACTTCTGTGTCATTAGGTGAGACTACTTAGAGAACATCTTCCAATTCCTTCCTTCCTGATTTAAATCAGTCCAATCAGTTCAGTGAGACCTGAGATCAGCTTTTCAGGTTATCTGTTTTGGGTGCTGTCCGTTAATAAAAGTCAGAGCTTATCAGCCGTAAAAATAAAACTCATTCCTAAAAATCAATTTCATTTTATATTTTTGCTTTACAAATTTTTCAAGATGAATTCAATGGGGTTATTTAGTTCACTTTTTAATTTATTTTATTTTACTTTATTTAACCACCCATCTTCCTCTTATGCATTTGCCATCTACCTAAGGAATTATGGCAATTACTTGCTTAAATATAAAGTGCCCAACCTTTTTGAAACTGCTTTCCTCTGTCATCTCAGAGCTGAATTTTAGGGTATGACAAATCAAAACTCATGAGGTAACTTTTCATTTGGCTACAGAATGACTCTTATGCAGTTATGGTAATTTGATTGATCATCCAGACAACAATGTTGTCCTTTAGTCATCAACCCATAATTTGTGTCTCCCTATCATGGCTTCCATCCTACTCCTCATCTTTAACAAAATAATCTGTTTAAGAAATTTTTTTGCAGATTTAAATGTTCTGTAGTGCTTTCTTTTTTTAAAAAAATGTGTGGGAATATGATGTAATGTCAGGCACAAAGAACCAGGAATACTCACTGAGCTCAAAGCCCCAAACAGTTTATTATTGCTACCTATACACAAGGGTCTGGTCAGTTAATGGTCCAAGGTAAACTAGTCCTAGCTAAGGTCAATGGAATTCACAGAAGGCTGAACTTAGGTCTCTTGTGGAAGCACAAAGATTCCAAACTGATGGCACATTTAACTCCCCCCTTCCAACTCAGCTTAGCTTGCTCATCTCCTACATATGAACAGTGAAATTATTGCCTATCCTTCATCTCATGTCTTCCCTATGTCTCCCCCTGAACACTCAAGTTCCTATAAACAACTGAACTGTGTGAATACACTATTTCCTTTTCCTAGAATTCCAAAATAAAATAAAAAAATCCAAATGCCACTGTGAAGTTAACTCAGTACCTTTTGTTTTCAAAACGCAAGAGATATTTTTCTGTGGGCACCCAGAGGTGGGTAGTCTACCTGAAAACAAGTGTTCCTAATATAATTTTATTTCTACAGACCCATAGGACAATGCCGGTCCTCCAAGGGAAACAAGAGTACAAAGCCAACCACACAATTTCCAGCAGATCATATTTGAAGCACTTTTGTATATGCACAATTTCTTTGTACATTAATACATCTTAGCTGACCACTTAGATGTGGTTATTAAAAGTTTTATACAGCTACCATGTCCCTCCGAAAATAAGACAAGGTCTTATTTTCTTTTGACCCCTGAAATAAGTGCTTGGCCTTATTTTTGGGGAGGTTTTATTACTTTTGAGGTTCAGGAGGCCCCTTAACCTCAGCTGATCCAGAGAGGGCTGGGAGTTTTGTCTCTGCTTCTGGCACATTCTTGCCAGCCCTAGTGTCATTGGGCCTGCCGCTCTTTTTGTGGCCACCACTAAGAGAAGGGATGCATTAGCTAGGGTTTGCGGGAGCAGTCTCCGCAAGGCCATTCTGCATGTATGGTAGGTGCATGTGAGGCATGTTCTCCCCCTCCCCCCCCAGAAATGCCACGAACCAGCTGCATATGCATTTAAATATTTTAGGGGAGGGCTTATTTGGGGGGAGGGCTTATTTTAGCACATGCACTAAAAAGCCCAATTGGGCTTATTATCAAGAGAGGTCTTATTTTGGGGAAAACAGGATACCAGCTTAATTCATTTCTGTTTCTCAGGAAAATCAGTACTCCAAAACAAGATTTTCCTTTCAAAGAACATAACAATTTAAGAATATTTTGTACTTCTGGAATTTCTTTTAAAAAAGAAACCCCACATAAATATTCAAAAGACCTTCATAGATGGACTTTTCCTTTTTGCTGTCTTCCTCTTTTTAATGGAGAAGAACAGCTTATATTGAGTGAATCCAAAATTGCACCCAGTTAGCAATGGTGAGTTGAAAGCTACAAACAATACTTTGATTGCCTGCAGTAACTGAGTAATAATTACATCAGTTGGTTTGCCTAACAGCAACATGACTTGTAGGATGCATAACTTCTATGTTTGTCCTAGTTTTCTGCTATAACAGAATTCCATCACATAATCTTGAGTTTTTGCCATCACAACACTGGGGAAATTATCTATTGTTTCATATGCAGAAGAAGGTAGAGAAATACAGCAGATTATCCCCCTCCCCTAAGCTAGGAAAGATATTCATAATCAAGGTCCCTTCCAACTCTGCTATTGTATTATTGTATTGTATGGTAAATTTTTGACTGTGATTTTTTAAGCTCTAAACTTAAAGTCTCCAAGTAGGAAAAAACAAAGTAAGTTTTTTTGTGACATGAAGATCAAAGGGCAAGAAACCTGCTTAATTTCTGATGTTAGGGTTGATTTTAATGCTACAGAAGCAGAAGTTGATCTCTGTTAAAACTGTAAGGAAAAAAAAACATTTTTTTAAATGTTCCTGTAGTTTAGAAAAGACAATCCAATCCAACACATTTAACCCAGTATGGTAAATTGTTCATTCATTAGCATCGAGAACAAACTTAAAAGAAGAAATAAGGTAACAACTTAAAATGATAATAACTGCCATATTATTAGCAAACCAAAGAAATTATAGAATATACTTGGAAAAATACCCTTGCTTCTTTTCCCATAGAAGAATGAAACATACACGAATCATTTTGGTTAATGTTATTTTAAGAATCCAGCTGAGTTCAGTACTTCTTTTTTTCTGATCTTTTGGCTGGTGTAAAACAAACTGAAATTCTATGCTTGCAGCCCTAAATTGTACAACCACAATATCGAAGGTATATAAGATTGCCAATTTCTGAATCAGAGTCCAATAACTACCGCTTCATGGCAGTGATATATGGCAATTCACAGGGAATAAAATGTTATTTTCTCCATGAAAAGAAATCACTTGCACACAAAATCCTCTGGGAGTAACAGTTTATATATTTTATTCTATTCAGACGTTTACATATTTTATTCTCACATTTCTTGAGCATGATATATGAATGAGAAAATTAAGAAAAGATCTAGGAGGACTAATATGTATATTAAGTATGGAAAGATAAGATATAAAAGCAAAAAAAAGGAAACATACATGCTACCATTTCTTCTAATAAGAGCACTGAAAACTATTGCAGACAGTCTTCATGAGTTTTAACTTATTCTTTGTAGAATTCTCTAATTCATGACACCTAAAATCTTACTTTCAAAAACAAAACAGAAACAATGGAAATCAGTAGATATTCTGAAAAAACACACACTAAAAAATCATGAGAGCCTTAGAGGCAGGGGTGAGCTTCAAAAATTTCAGCAACGGGTTTTCTGCCCAGTTGCTGGTTGGGCGTGGCCATGATGGGTGTGGCCTAGTCAGCCTCCTGCATCATGGCGGGGCGTGGGGCGTTTTTGCATTCCACAGGCTTTGGAGGCTTTCCTCGAGC